AGGAAGCTCTCACTCCTCTTGGTACCACTCCCAGAGATCGGCAAGGGATACATAATACAATGTTATATCTTTAGTGCTCTCAGGGATACAGCCCAGAGACGGACAGATGAACTAAGCATATATATCAGATCGAGTGCTGTTCTAACTTATTCTCTGTTGTTATGGCAAACACTAGGGCCTTAAGAGAGAAGAGAATGCATTTGCCTTATATGCCCAGGTTGCACCCATCATTGAGAGGAGTTAGACCTGAACTCAAGCAGGAACGCAAAGGCAGAAACCACAGAGGATGGCTGCTAGCTGGCTCGTTCACTCACAGCTTCACACTTAGCTAGCTAGCTTACTTGCTTGTTTACTTTTTCTTTTCTCTTCTTTCTTCTTTTTTTCTCTTCTTCTCTGTGGACATCATCATCTTCATCTTCTTTCTTCCCCCTTCTCTTCCTCTTATGCTTCTTTGTTCTTCTTCTTCCTACTCCTCTTCCTCCTCTTCCTCCTTTTCTTTTTTCTTCGAAACAGGTTTGTTTTGTGTGTGTGTGTGTGTGTGTGTGTGTGTGTGTGTATCCCTGGTTGTCCTGGAACCCACTCTGTAGACCAGGCTGTCCTCAGAGATCTACCTGCTTCTACCTCCCTAGAGCAGGGATTAAAAGCATAGGGAAACCACACTAACTTTCTTATATGTAGCCCAGAACTAATTGCCTAGGGATGGTGCCACCCATGGTGGGCTGGGCCTAGTGCTTAGATTAACAATCTGATCTAGGTTTTTTTTAATTGAGGCTTTCCTCTCAGGGAATTCTAGGCTGTGTCAAGCTGACCAGGACAGGCACTTTATAGATATAAAACCCTGATATTGATGCTGTTATAACCTTCATTTACAAAGAGGAAACTGAGGCACAGAGCTGTTGAGCCATTCATATAAGGTCACACAACTGAGAGATGATAGGATTCCTGGACACAGATCCAGTTTCTACCTCACTCTGAGCTCTCACGAACATTTGTGGAGTGACAGACATGATTCAGGAAGGGTGACAGGCAGGCAGGTATGCTCCTGTTGGGAACTAGGGAGCAGGCTTGGCATCCAGACTGATTTGATAACTGAAGTCAGCAGCTCGGCATATCAAGGCCTTTTGGCCCTGGCTCCGCCTCTGCCTTGCCCTACCAACCACCTGGCCAGGCACAGGCACAGGCAGCCCAAACAGAGCTCGGTTGCTAGGGCCCTGGCAGGGATGCCTTGCCCGATAATCCCTGCCTCTCTGGGAACCCAGTCTCCCCCTGGCCATGTCTGTCAAGGCCATCTAGCTTGGCCTAGATGCCAGCTGCTCTCTCTGTGGTTTGTCCCCTTCCTGTAGCCCCTCTAAAGCCAGGAATGCCAGCTCCAGCTCCTTTCCCAGTCTGCTTGTGTGGCCTTCCTGAGAGGCCAGCAATCAGGACAGAACTGTAAGGGTCAGGCTGCCTGAGGTCCAGCCCTGGACCTGCTGTGTGTGTGGCTTTGGGCAATTTTGCTTAAGTTCTATGGGTTCCATTTAACCTACTATGGACATCAAAACAGGCTGCTGTGAGGGTTAGACTGGAGAGGAGTTAGAACATGCGAAGGCTTATTAACGGCGGGCCTTTGAGTTCCATGTGCATTTGGTTAACAACACTCACATGTCTTCTCAGCTGTTCCTTTAAACTGAGCACAGAGCCAGTTCTCCCAGAGAGGGAGGGAACCCAGTAGGGCAGTCACAACCACCATGTCCCCAGCCCGGCTCCTCTGAAACTCAGAGTTGGGCTGTCAGGACATGTGCCCACTCTGCCTTCAAGCCTTCTCTGGACTAAGCAGGGGTCAGGAGAAACTCCTCTGCTCTGGTGCCCTCATTCGAGGAGCCCCTAGAATGCTTGGTATCTCTGAGAAAGATACTGCAGCTGCCTGCTGTATCCTTAAAGTTCATCATGAAACTCATTGATATTTTGGTGCTGAGGCTCAATCCTCTCCCTGATGCATGGAGTGACTTTGTTCTGTTTCTCTTAGTCATTCCTTCATCCTCGGTAGGTCCAGAAGGTTCCTTGCAAACACATCAGTGTCGATTAAGCAATTAAGCAGCAGAAACAGACTTCCTTATACCGTTTTGACCCCCGATGTTCTCGCCCACAGCTTATATGCACCCCATTCCTTCAGCCCCCTCCCCGTGTCATCCTAGGGAGATGGGAATGACTGACAGGTGACCCTGGGGAATGCTGATAGCCAGGCTCCTTCTTTTGATCTCTTTTGCATACTTTCCGTTCTCCCTGGAGTGGCTGATCATACTTTTCTGTGTGTTTAAAGATATCTCAGCAACTCTCATCTTATGAAAACAGTAACAGCTAACATCTGTGGGGCACTTGATAGTTTGAAGCACAATGTATTTCTCTGTAACAATGTGTTTCGGATTTTACAATAGCCTTCTGAGGTGTGTACTGTTGTGATCCCATTTTCCAGATGGAGGAACTGAGGCACGAGCAAATGAAGTGACTTACAGTTCAGGATGAGTTTGCCCCAGGTAGATGTACCCATCTGACCTCTCCTGGTCCCTGGACCATCTGCTTTTGGTCGGTCCTCATCTTTCTGTGTTCCGTGTTTCATTTTGTCTTTGTGTACAGACTGCTTAGGGAAGGCTGACCTGGGCCATGTTCCTCTGCAATTCTAGAGGCAAGTGGAGTTTACCAGGCCCCCTGTGCTTACTAGGGACCCCCGCTCACTCTCAGACTTCCCTATCCCAGGCCTTCTGTGGCAGGCAGCACAGAGCTTAGCAGGAGTGGGTCCAGCTGGGCCCAGGAGGGCTCAGAAAGGCCAAGTCAGCAGGGAAGAGTGCTTGCTTCTTTTGCACAGGACCCTGGTTCCACATCCATCTGTAGCTCCAGCTCTAAGGAGCTGGACGTCTCTGGGTTCCTCAGGTTTCCACATACCCCTCGAATTGTATACCTACACACAATTAAAGATAAATTTGAAAAAACATGTATATAAATCATATACATCTACACCAATACATACATAAACATGCATACTACATGCAAATACAGTCACATATGTGAACGTATACTTCACACAAGAAAATTCATGAACACACTTGCACAGACAAAACCTTTGCAAATAAATACAGACTAACATACACAAATAAGTATACATGTACATACCCATGTGGCACACACAAAGACACCTACATCCTTGCACACATGTGCCCACAATGCAGGGTGCCCACCTGGCCTGGTCTGAGGGGAGATGACTGGAAAGAGCTGGTATGTCTGGATGCTGCATGTGTTTGGTGACTTGGGGTGAGTATGTCCTGTCTTCTCTTTTGAGGTGTCATAAGCAAGTACTGTGTCAGTATCTGCTTGCTACAAGGTAGGCCAGAAAGCATGGTCCCCAGACCACAAAGATTTGAGGGTCTCCACAAGCCATTGCTTTGCCCCAAGGTTGGCACTGGCCACACGTGTTTCCAGGGCCCCCAAGACGCTGCAGCTTAGGCAGATACGAGAATAAGTGGAACAAGTGACCTGGCCATCGGGAATGCCCCTTTGGACAAAACAAGGAATCAAACCCAGTCTGTCAGACTCCAGCGTACCCACATGGGGTGGGCCACACTTCTGAGAGTCTCTGGGATTATCATACAGGAGGTCCTCTGTCGGGGTGAAAAGCCATTGACCTGAAGACCAGCAGCCCTGAAGGGGCCAGTGTCTGACAAGGGGTTCAGATATCCAGGATTCTTTAGCAAAGCAGACTCTCTACATGTTTGGGACAAGCCCCTCCCCCATATTCTTCACACCCTCCTGAGGGGTGTGTCTACAGAGTTGAGGGGGCCCTAGGCTTCCCCTTCCTCTCCTCTTCCCAACTTTGGCTCCCCACCCCCACACACATTCCTCTTCCTCAGACACTCAGACATTCACTTCAAGGGCTCTGTGGTGGTGATTTCAGGCAGGGTTTGATTTGCTCTCAAGCATTTCCCTGAGTGGCCCCTGGGTGTTTGCTCTGATCCAGATGGCATCCAGATGCAAGCTGCCCTCCCCCCCCACAGCTGGGGGGGAGTCCCGTCCTGACCTCCACCTCACACCCACCTCCCTGGCCCAGCAGCTTTGTTCCTCCGGTCTGAGGTCAGGGCACGGACCAACACCTCTGCCTGCGGCGCCCTCCAAAGCCGGGCTCCTGGCCATCCGATTATTGGTCTCCGTCCTCAGCCTTTGTTCATTTCAACAGGTCATTGCTACAAGAGCCAAAACAAATGTCAGCGTGATAATGAGGGAAGCTGGGATGCGGTTCTGCCCGTTGGGGCGGGGAGGGGAAGACCGGGTGTGTGTCGAAGCAGAGGGAAGGAACACATGCGTGGAGCCTTGAACCTCCAGCTCAGATCCCTAGGGACCAAATCCAAACGAGGAAACGGCATGAATGACTGCTGCACAAGAAGTGACAAGGCCAGCAAGCCCCAGGCAACAACTACTTAGAGAGTCCTCATCCTGTCCTGTGAACTGAGTGCGAGCATTCCCATTTACAGATAGGGAAACTGAGGTCCAGCAAGCAGAGAAGCATCGAGCAGAACACCTTTCTGTTGTTGTTGTTTGTTTGTTTGTTTGTTTTTCTGTTGTGACAGGCAATACAAAAGGTCAGAATTTGACTTTAAGCAGGGGACTCCCAGAATGCATGGGGTTTTCTGGGTAGCCTGCCTAAGCCAAGCCTTTGGGAGCTGCCTCCAGATGTCCTTCCTGGCCCAGTGACCACCAGCGTGGTATTGAGAAACATCCTCGGGAGCCCCAATGGAAGACCAGGGTGGGAGTTCCTGTGTATAAGATGGCCTTTCTGAGATTCCAGGTCCCCGGCTTCCCTGCTCTGGCCAGCGCTGGACTCTAAACCCAGGAGCCAGCCCAGCACTTGGCAGCCCGGGAGCCAGGCGGCCCTTGATGACCTGCTCTTAAGCCGTCCACTTCCCATTAGAAGTTAATATTTATACCTCCAGCAGGCCTTGGGCTGCGGCTGTGGGCATCGCAGAGGTCAGGAGGGCTTCCCTGGCCCCGGAGACACTTCTGGGCTTCAGGTGTTTGTCCTCCCATCCCCACCCCTCACGCATACACCAGCAGGAGGAACAGGCAGGTGTGTGTCCACATGGATCGTCTTCTTTGTGAGGTGTACAGTCAAACTTCCTTGACGGAAGACGGGGCGATTGGCCCCAGCTCAAATGTGCAGGGCAGACATTTCCTAGAACGGTTGGGCCCGGGTGCTCACAGGTGTGGGAGGAGGAGGCGGGGCCGGGCCTCCCAGCCAATAAGCATCAGGTAGCTGTAGGGAGCTAGGTCCTGAGGGCCCACGGGAGGAATCCTCATCTTCTGGCCTCCCTCCACGTCCTAGAAAATATCAGAGACAGCCATGCAGGGCAAGCTGCTGGGCATAGGTTTGCACTTCTTTCTTGTCTCCCTCCATCTTCCCCGTGGCTCTTTCAGGTGGCCATCTAGCATGTGAGGCTCTGTCCTCCCTCCCGCCTTTTGCCAGCCGTCCCTCCCTCCATCGGACCCTCCTTCTTCCCTCACCTCCTTCCTTCCAGACTTCTTCCCTCCAGATTCTCAGCTTCGCAGCCACAGAAATTAGACAGAGAAGCTGTGGGCCAGGATTCTTCCCCTGAGGGCTGGGGAATCTGGACCCCTGGAAGTGTTACGGGTAGGACTGAGAATGTAGCTCAGATAGTGGTGGGCTTGCCTAGCATAGCCACACCCCTGGGTTCGACCCTGGTGTTGTATAAGTCAGGCATGGCGGAACCCACTTGTAATCTCACTGCCCTCGAGGTGGAGGCAGGAGGATCAGAAGTTCAAGGTCACACTTGGCTGTATAGCACTTTGAAGGCTAGCCTGAGCTACATGAGACTCTGTCTCTTAGGGAAAGGGCATGGAAGGGGAGATTGTCCCCAGTCTGTGAGGTGGGAGGAGAGTCTCTTTCTCCACCAAACTCTGTGGGCTGGTGGTACTTGCACCTGGAGTGAGACTGGGCTGGGGGTGGGGTATCGCAGAAGGGCTCAGTTATCTCTAAATGCCTCATGTCAGAAACAGGTGGTGTGTACCTGAGGATTTCGGTGATGGCCAGAGGGAGGGGACATTTCTGCCAGCTGCGTGTTGGTAGTCAGGTAGCCTGGGAGGGGACCTGGGGCTGGCACACCAGTCCCCACAGGTTAATGTTTGACCTGGAGCCATGTGTTTTTCCACTAGGTATTTTTATCCTCTGTGCCTGGCAGTGGGCAGCTGGGTGCTGTCCTCTGTGAGCATGGAAGGAGGGGGAGTGGCTCAACCCGGGTGGCTTTAGGAGGGGTAAGGCTGCAGGGAGACGAGGGTTGGGGAGGGGGGCTTAGAGGAGAGAGGCATGTGTACACATTACTTTCCTCATCAGTTAAACCAAATACAAAAAGCAATGTATGGGAAGAAAGATTCGTCATCTTGTTGTTGGGTTTTGTTTTTTCTAGTGGTTTGATGGGGGCGGAGTCAATCAAAAGGGGGGCGTGGCTGAAGTCAAGGCAGCAGGAGCAAGTCACCAGGTTTCCTCAAATCTAGGCAGACTAAGAAGTGGATGGGAGAGCATGCTGACACTCAGTTCGATTTCTTCTTTGTCCTATTTATTCAATCCAAGGGTCCCAGCTCACTGGATGGCACCACCCACTTTCAAGAAGGGTCTTCCGCCTCAGTTAAACCTCCCTGGGAACAGCCTCATGGACACACCTAGTTGACTCCACAGCTAGTCAAGTGGACAATGAAAAGGAGCCGTTGAATGTCTACCCCCTGTCAATTCGACATCCAAACACTCTTCTCGTGTGTGTACAGGTGTGTGAGCGGTGTATAGTGTGTGTCGGGGCACACAAACATGAAGTCACCTTCAAGAACAACCACATGGAAAAGAAACAAACAGAAGAGCCCAGGGACCAGTTGGCTTTTGATCTCTGCCCCAGCCCTGGTCCTGCCCTGGGACCACCCCATCTCTAGTTGAGTAAGAACTGGCAGAGATGCAGGAAGGAGGATAATTTGGGGTCCCTGACCCAGCTTCTCAGGAGAGTCAGGATGTTCCTCTAAGATGCTAACAGCACAGACAGAAATTGTTCTTTTCTATGGCTAGAGCTATTGATGGCAGCGATAACGTACCCAGTCTGGTCCTGGGCCAGTGTGGCATGGGGAGCACAGCTTGCTCCCAGGGAACCCCCATCTAAGGGAAAGGGGGCTGAGGACTCATGACAAGAGCTCTGTATCTGAAACTGAACTGTACATACTGGGTCCTCCTAGCTCTGGCATCCAGCACTCTCCACTTCTGCCTCTTCTTCACAGGGATGTCTGGCCTGAACTGACTGACTGATGGGCTGTGCACAGCCCAGTATCCAGAGTCATCCCCACACACAATCAGAGTCATCCACACACACAATCAGAGTCATCCCCACACACAATCAGAGTCATCCCCACACACGATCATAGTCATCCCCACACACGATCAGAGTCATCCACACACACGATCAGAGTCATCCACACACACGATCAGAGTCATCCCCACACACGATCAAAGTCCAAGTGAGGGAAAGCCTCCAAAGCTACTCAGCCCAGGGTTCAGCTGATGCCAGGTGCCGGCTGGAGCAAAGACAGCTTCCTTCCTGTCCCTCCCAAAAGTTCGAGAGATTGGTCTGTAATCTCAGGTGCATCCGTGTGAGAGCTCTTCACCAATGTTAGCCTGAAAGACATTAGAATTACCCAGAGGTGTGTCTGTGTGGGAGTATCTAGATGGAATTAGTTGAGGTAGAAAGACCATGTCCAGCACCGACCCTGTGTTCAGCACCATCCCATGGACCGAGGTCCTAGACTGGATAAAAACCAAAGGAGAGGGGCATCTGAGTGCCAGCATCCATCTCTCTCTGCTTCCCGACAGTTGCTGCAGTGTGGGCCAGCCACCTCACGTTTCTGACCTCCCTGCCAGGATGGATCATATCCTCAAGTAGGAGTTCGGTGGCCCAAAACTGACAACCTGAGCTCAGTCCTCAGAACCCACATCAAAAGCCAGCTGAGGCAGCATGCAGCCGTAATCTCGGCACTCTTGGAGCGGGATGGGACACAAGGGAACTGTCCAGAAGCTCAGTGGCCAGCTAACCTGGGTTACGCAGGATGACAGAAACGGAGAGAAGGAGAAAACTGCACCAGTTGCCCCCTGACTTCTTCACAGTGTACGCACTATGGTACATCTGCCTGCCTGCTGAAGTATGCGCATGATGTGGTATGTGTGAGCTTACACACACACTCACACACACACACACACACACACTAAATAAATAAATAAATAAATAAATAAATAAATAAGAAGAAAGGGATAAACCAAAATAAACCCTTCCTTTCTTAAGTTGTTTAAATTAGATACTTTGTCACAGTAGTGAGGTAAGCAGTTAATATGGAGGATGGGATGGAAGGCCATGGATCCCAGAGTCAACCTACTCACCAGCTGAGAAGGTCTACCGCAGCATCAGGTGATCTCAACCCTCCCCAGACCCAGAACTGGGAGGTTTGGTAGGCTGACCTGAAGCTGGGGTCTTTAGCTGAAATCCTGCTATGGAAGCCAGTCTAAAAGCCCTTCCTAAGGGACTTCATGGGATTGGGAAAATGTTCCCTGTGCAAGGACATAGGGGCGGGTCAGAGCAGTGCTGACTTCTGGGAGGAATCTCGTGTCTTGTTGTCTCCTAAGGTGATCTACAGTAGAACACAGTGCAGACTGAGCAGAAGAAAGGAGACCCCATCTGGACCTGTTAACAGGGTGGCCATGTCTCTAGCTGGAAGTCAGTCATGTCTGGCTTCACCACCCACTGTACCCGGTCATCCCAAATCCAGTTGAGAACCATACTGTGTGTCCTGTGTCTCTCAATCCCACACATCCCTTAACACCACTCTGCCGGGGGTCATCGGCCTGATCTCTGCCTTGAATACAGCTGCCCCCAGTAGTGTTCTATCTCAAGTTTCTCACCAGCTGGAAGCCCTTGTCCAATTGAGGCCTCTTGTTTCTTGCCATCTCTTACAGAGGAAGGAATGCTAAGATGATCGACCCGCCCCACCCCGCCCCATGTTACACACGGGACTGCTGACTTTCTCCTTGACTCTGGTTGGCGTTTTGCTTCTCCTGGTTACAGAAGTTGGAGTCTCCAGAGTCAGGAGATGCTAGAACAGTGGTTCTCAACATGTGGCCCCATTGGGTCATACCATATCAGATATTCTGCCTGTCAGAGATTTACATTATGATTTCTAACGGTGGCTAAATGAGTTATGAAGTAGCAATGAGAAAAATGTTATGGCTGGGGTCACTGCACGTGAGGGACTGTATGCAGCATTAGGAAGGGTGAGAACCATTGCTCTGCAAAGAAACACGATTCATAGAGGCTCCTTAACCCTGCTGTGTCCTCCGAGAATCCGGGAGGTAGTGAGTCAGAACAAAGCCAAGGACTTTGGGGACTCTCAGAGGATCACTGGTTTCTCATTCTTTGGGAGGAATTTGAGGTTTCGCCTCAGGGGGAGGGGCACCGAGGAGTCCTGGAGTTTGGAAACACCCCCCCCTCTCCCCCACTGGCTCAGGCTTTTGCTGTGCAAGAAGCAAAGGATACAAGCTTGCACCAATCCTCTGAAATGGAAGAACTGGTTTCTCATCTGGTGGACAAGAGTGGGGAATTCTGAAGACCTAGCTTTGGGCCCTGGCTTTGCATCCAGCTCAACCATTTCTTAGAAGCCGGTTGCTTTCCCGTAGTGCCCTCCCACCTCCAGCTATTAGCCCGGGCCTGGCAGATGGGTCCACGGAAACTTAGTGTTCAGAAAGGATACAGACTTTTACAACTCCCTATTCAGAGCAACTGGAATGGAGAAAGGTCACACCCCACCATCAGATGCTCACCAGACCTCCTCTCTTGCGAGTTACCCTGGCTGCCTCTCCCAAGAGCGTTCTGTATAACCAGATGAGGCACCTCTTTTTATCCTCATGGTCCTCGTGTCCCCCTTGTCCCCTGAGCAGTGGAAAGGGCTCTCTTTTCCTGAGCTGTAGCTTAGGAGAGATTCCAAATGGAGCAGACAGACATGCTATCCAGAGGCACTGATTTATTTATATTCCCAGCTATTCCAGAGGCTGAGGCAGGAGGGTTTCGTGTATTTCAGTAACTTTTCTCGTAGTTGTGGCTGCTAAAATTGCTTAAGTACTTCCTCAGGAGTTGGGCCCCAAGCTCTTGGCCTCTGCATCTGTGCTTGTGGCCCAGTCTCCACAGGATTCGGGTGACTGTTTTGAATGTTTGGCACACGGCTGCCATTCAGTGCCTCAGCTGCTCAAAGCACAGAGGCAAACGGCCACCATGTTGAACAGGGCAGATGCTGAAGGCCTCTATTCATTGCAGGAAATTCAACTGGATTCCTCTCTGCTGGTGCTTGTTCAGTGCAGACATGGAGCAGCGGAGATGATTCTTCAGTCGGTAGAGTAAAATAATAATTAACAATAATGATAACAAAGGCTGCGATCTACTGAGAGTTTCCTTCAGGGCAGGCCCAGTGCCAAACACATAATCCTTACCCAATCCTGGGCTCAAGGAGGTTACTCAGGGTCACTGGAGCTAGCAAATGACTCTAGGTTTGCGTGACCTCCGAGTCCAGTCCACTTTCCTAGCTGTGGCAGCTCCGCCCCCCTGCCATGCCCCCAGGAATTTAGAAGCCCCAGGGGAAGGGAAGGAAGGCAAATAGCACTCATTTTACAAGAGCAGGAATTAAATAAATCAGCACGTAATTAACATCATCACATCTCCCTAAGACCGCTGACTAGAACAGTGCGCTAATGAGGTCAAGGTGTTGATTTTGAGTCCCAGGAGCATAGTACAGCGGCCACTGTACAGGAGCCAGCCCACCACCCTGGAAGAAGCCTGGGGGGTGGAGGGGAGGCGTTCTGAATACTCAGGCAAGGATCCAGATAACCTGTCTCAGAACTAAACTGGCTGCTGCCTTCTGGACTGTGACAACACCGGGGACATATGGGAGGGGGCTTACTGGGCTTTTGGGGGTTTGGCTTGGCTCAGAAGGTCCATCTTTAGCGTCTGGTAAGAATGTCAAAATTGTTGGGGGAGTTGTTGGTCATCTCCCTCCCACCCCCACCCCTCAGTGGTGAGAGAAGACAGCTCATCAGAGATGAAGACCTCCTTGGGAACTGGCAAAGGGTGTGTGAGATAATCTCCACACACAGTGACTAGGGCCATGATAGGCCTCATTAGGTATTAGTTTATGTAAATTCTCCCTCTCTGGGCCTACAAGATGGCTCAGTGGTTAAAGATGGCTGTCATCAAGACTAATGACCTGAATTCAATGGCTGGGGACTCACATGGTAGAAGAACCGATTCCCCAAAATTATCCTATGACCTTCAGATGTGTACCACACTACATGTACGCACCCACCCTTCCCTTATCTCACACACACACACACACACACATACACGCAAATAAATAAATAGTTAATAAATAAATAAATAAATAAATAACAAAACAAAAACAAACCCACCAAAATGTGTAGACAGGTGTGGTGGTGCTTAATTCCAGCATTCAGGAGGCCGAGGTAGGTGAGTGTCTTTGAGATCAAGGCCAACTTGGTCTATATAGCAAATTCCAGCTAGGGGTATAGGGGCCAGTCAGTCAGAGTAGTCAGTAAGACCCTGTCCCAGAAACAAACAAACAACAACAAAAACAAAAATAAAATCTTTTTCCACCATTGCCGGAAGGATGGCAAATGCTTCAGCCACTT